GGCTGCGGTGGCCGGGAGTGGCCACTGCACACCAGTCTGGGCGACAGAGTGAGACGCCAACTCAGAAAATAAAATAAAATAAAATAAAAAATAAAAAAAAAATAAAAGCCCTCGGAACCTGGTCTGGGCTCTTCAGCGACCCCTAGTGGTGGAGGGTACAAGTCAGGGGTTGAGGTCGGGGAGCCGCTTTCTAGGGTGCGTCGCTTTTCGGGATGCATCCGGGCTACTCCGTTTTCTTTTCTTTAATTTTTTTTTTTTTCTGAAAAGATGTTGTATTTTTCTGCTCCGTTTTCTAAGCGGAAGGGAGCGCCCTGCAAATTGGGGGTCTGTTAGTCTTGGGGAAGAGTGGACAAGAGCCCCCTAGGTCTGGAGGACAGCATGGAGGCTTGCGTAAGTGTGTAGATCCCCGGGAGTAGGGATCTGGAGTGTGCTTTGGTTTTGAGGTTGGTACTGCATCGGATGGTTTCTTTGGTTTGGGCGCTGAATTTTCAGCCGAAGAAGCAACAAGTTTGAGGGTCGCGACGTTGAACCACTAGAGGTTCGGCGTTTAGGATCACATCAATTCGGGGAGTTGGCAATTCCATCATTTGGGAGTTTGGGAAGGGGTGTCTGGAGTGGGGGACTCCAGGTCCAGAGTTTGGGGACTGGTGAGTGCTTCCTGTTTAATAGTTTTGCTGATCTTTCATTTGGAATGCAATGGGGATCGTAAATTTGGAGTCTGGGGATTGGGGTTCGCTTTGGAGGCATTTTTTTGAGTGAAGGTCACTCTGGCTAGAGTGCAGTGGCAGGATCATGGCTCACCAGAGCCTCGACCTCCTGGGCGCAATGGATAGCGCATTGGACTTCAGGGCTCAGACGATCATTCCGCCTCAGCCTCATCCGGCTAATTATTTTTTATTTTTCATTTTTTGTAGAGAACAGGGCTCTCAACAGGGCTATGTTGCCCAGGCTGGTCTCAAGTGATCCTCCCACCTTGGCCTCCCAAAGTGCCAGGGATTACAGGTGTGAGCCACCGCGTCCGGTGCCACTTTGGAGGGACATAAGTCCTCTTTCTTTGGAGATTTCCTGAAAATACTTGTTTTGCAGTTAGGGGACCCTGTGGATAAGGGCCTAGAGGGGTTCCCTAAGATGGACTTTGGCTTCTCTCTGTTTAGCTTTCTCCTGCTCTTTGTTTGGAGGAGGATTCCCCGCTCCCCAACGATCTTCTCGACAGGTGTGCACTCTGGGTGCGATGGGGCTGCGTATTGCCCTCCTGTTTGCGGCTCTGGCCGGTTGCCTGCCTCCTGCCCAGGGCTGTGTCATATGTGACCCATCGGTCGTGTTGGCTCTAAAGTCCTTGGAGGAGGATTACCTGCCTGGGCACCTGGATGTGAAGCATCACAAAAACGTGATGAGCAGAGTACAGCAGGCCGTGAAGGATTTCAAGGAACTGCCATTTAATGAAGATTCCTATATGGGAGTTGTTGGTGAGGGCAGGGTGGAGCGCAGACCCCTGGGTCCTGGGAAAGGAGGGGACTGGGGCTGGGATTGCTGGGGCCAGGGGAAGGGAGGGGCTGGCAGCGGGGTCTCCTGGGTTCAGAATGGAAAAGGCTGAGATGCAGATTCCAAGGTACCCCAGGGATAGTAAATACTGTTTTCCCGACCCCTTATCTAGCTAGTTTATGTAACGAAACTACAACTACCAGAAGGCAAAAGGCAGCTAATTCCTTAACCAGGGGCATCTTTGCTCCATGACCTCATGGGTACTGTAGTTTTTTGTTTGTTTGTTTTGTTTTGTTTTGTTTTGAGTTGGAGTCTCACTCTGTCGCCCAGACTGGAGTGCAGTGGCCGCTCCCGGCCACCGCAGCCTCGACCTGCTGGGCTCTGGCAATCCTTCTGCCTCAGCCTTCCAAGTAGCCAGAATTACAGGCGTGCGCTACCACGCCCGACTGATTTTTTGATTTATTGTAGAGATGAGGTCTCGCTGCCCAGGCGGGTCTTGAACCCGCGGGCTCAGGCAATCCACTCACCTCAGCCTCCCAAAGGCACGGGATTACAGGCCGAGCCACTGAGCCCGGCTTTTTTTTTTTTTTAAGTAGGCATCTCACTCTGTCACCCAGGTTGGAGTCCAGTGGCATGCTCACAACCACTGCAACCTCGAGCTGCTGGGCTCAGGTGATCTTTCCACCTCAGCCTTCCAAGTAACTGGAACCACAGGTGTGCGCCACCACGCGACATTTTTTTATTTATTGTAGAAATGAGGTCTCACCAAGCTCCCTGGCTGGTCTCGAACCCCTGAGCTCAGGCAATGCTCTCGCCTCCACCTCCCAAAGTGCTGGGACACTGCACCCGGTTTTTACTCTATTTTATGTAGCAAAACTACAACTCCCAGAAGGCAAAAGGCAGCGAATCCCATAACCAGGCGTATCCTTGCCCCGTGGCCTCATGGGTGTAGTAGTTTCTAAGACTAGGCACCCCTATGGGACAACCTGAAATCTGGAGCTTTCTCCCCGCACAGATGAGGCCACACTGCAAAAGGCATCCTGGAGTTTGCTGAAGGATCTGAAACGCCTCACGGACAGTGATGTAAGAGGTAAATGCAGCAAGGGGCTTTGGGGGCGACCCCGGAATCTCTCCAGAAAGCCGTTGCTGGTGCTGCTCGGTGTCTGGGTCAGATGGCCAGACACTGGGCTGTAGAGCCAGATTGCCTCAGTTTACCTCCCAGCTCTGACACTTCCTACCTGCGTGGCCTTCAGCAAGGGCCTTCAAAGCTTCTTCCGCTCTAAAATGCTCTAACAGTGGAGGCGCTATGGCGCCTTAGTCCCCCAGAGGTGCTGCAGATTAGATGGGTCTCGGTGGCTGCATTGTTAAGAGGGTCGGTTTCCATGCACTCCCCTGAGAAGGCCAGGCTCTGCAGACGGAGGCAAACTCCCAGCACCTGGCACGTGGGACTGAGGGAGAGGGGATCACCCCACCATCCCGCTTCTCTCCAGGTGAGCTCTTCGTGAAGGAGCTATTTTGGATGCTGCATCTGCAAAAGGAAACCTTTGCTACCTATGCTGCTCACTTCCAGCAAGAGGGTGAGGGAGACAGGAGTCTGGGTCCCCAGCCCCCTCCTTCTACAATCCAGAGTCCCTGTCTCCAGCCCCTCAGGGTTTTTTGTTTTTGTTTTTTTGAGTCAGAGTCTCACTCTGTTGCCCAGACTGGAGTGCAGTGGCATGCTCACAGCTCACTGTAGCCTCGATCTCCTGGGCTCAGGGAATCCTCCTGCCTCAGCCTCCCGAGTAGCTGAGACCACAAGCATGTGCCACCACACCCGGCTAATTTTTCTGATTTATTGTAGAGACGAGGTCTTGTCATGTTGCTCAGGCTGGTCTTGCACCCCTAGGCTCAGGCAGTCCTCTTGCCTCAGCCTCCCAAAGTGTTGGGATTACAGGCGTGAGCTACTGTGCTCATCCTGGCTCCTTACTTCTCCAAGCCCGATTCCTCAGCTTCTCCAACCTTCTTCTTCAGACCTGTTTCTCCCCCTCAAACCCAAGAGTGAAACCCAGTTCTTCTCCAACCCAGTTTCCGGTCTTTTTTTTTTTTTTTAAGTTGGGGTCTCTTGTCACCCAGGCTGGAGTGCAGTGGCAGGATTACAGCCACCACAGCCTCGACCTGCTGGGCTAAGGCGATCCTTCCACCTCAACCTTCCAAAGTAGCCGGAACTAAAGGCATGTGCCACCACGGCTGGCTAATTTTTTGATTTATTGTAGAGACGAGGTCTCACCATGTTGCTCAGGCTGGTCTCGAATCCCTGAGCTCAGGCAATCCTCTAGCCTCCGCCTCCCAAAGTGCTGGGATTACAGGCATGAGCCACCGCGCCCAGCCCCATCTTCTTTAATTTATAAATCTGACTCTCATCTCTCTCTCTCTCTTTTCCCTTCCGAGGCAGCTTATTGTCCCAACACGTGTGGTGAGTCCGGGTTATGGAAGCCAGCCCTCTCTCCCTCATCCTGCCCCATGAAGACCCAACCTTACACCTCGCCTTTTTGGATCCTGGCGTTTTTTTCATTCTCTGCGTCTGAGAGGTTCGGGGAGCGGGCTGTACGCTATTTACACTTTTCTTTTTTTTGAGTCGGGGTCTCACTCTGTCACCCAGGCTGGAGTGCAGTGGCACAATCGTGGCTCATCCCAGCCTTGACCTCCTGGGTCCAGGCCATCCTTCCACCTCAGCCTCCCGGGTGGCTGGGACTACAGGCCCGTGCCACCACGTCTGGCTGATTTTTTGATTTATTGTAGAGATGCGGTCTCGCCAACTTGCCCAGGCCGGTCTCGAACTCCTCGGGACCCTCTCGCCTCGGCCTCCCAAAGTGCTGGGATTCCAGGCACGAGCCGCCGCGCCCGGCCGTCTACCCTCTTTGCTGAGCCGGGTTCGAGCCCGCTTCCCACCCAGCCGCGTTCTGGCCCCGGCCTTCCGTCCGACCTCCTGGGGCTTTGGCGCACGGCCCCGCCCCCTGCCCGCTCCTCCTAGCCCGCCCCCTAGGCGCAGACCCCAGCCCCGACCCTGCCCCTTCAGGAATGATGCTGCAGAGTCTGATCTGGTGCTCCGACTGCAAGAAGCAGGTTCACGCTTGTCGAAAGTCCTACGATTGCGGGGGTGAGGGCCGGACCCAGCAGGAGGGAGGGGCGCGTGAGGGGCGGGTCTGGAGGAGAGACTGAGTCAGGAGAGGGCCGAGGTGGAGACAGCAGACAAGGAAAGGCGGGCTTCAGACCCAGCTGAAGGGGGCGAGGGGAAGGCAGAGAACCCCGAAGGAGCGCCCCACGCAGCTCTGCCCCTTCCCAGAGCGCAGAGTCAAGGTCCATCAAATGGAAGACATGATCCTGGACTGTGAGTTCAACTGGCATCGCGCCTCGGAAGGCCTCACCGATTACAGCTTCTACAGGGTGGGCCCTCGACTCCTGTCACCCTTGAGCCCCCTAGTCTGTCACGCCTGTGTAAGCCCCTCGGCCCCTGGACCCACGGGCCCGCACCCAGGACCCTCACGGCCGTGATCTGCTAGGCGCGGTCTCTGCCGACCCCTGGGGAGCCCATGCCCTCACCGGTGACACCCTGGACTCCCATCTCCGGCTCAGAGGCCCCTGATCGTCTCTCCCCTGTACTCCCCAACCCCTGAATTCCCCAGGCCTCTGTGACCCCTTGAGCTTGGGTCTAGGTTTGGGGGAACCATTCAGAGACCTTGGTGTCCAAGGGGAAGGAGCCCACCCTGACCAAGCCCATGGTGGGTCAGGAGGACGCGGGCAGCTACCGCTGCGAGCTGGGCACTGTGACTTCCGA